GGTACTTATACCGGTGGGGCAGAGGCCGGCCTCAATGCTGCGAGGCCTGGCCATGCCCTGAACCGTCCAGATGGACGGTTCAGCCCCAACCAGCGGGTGGCAGCCTCAAGAGCGCCGCCAGGCCCAAACGATAATGCCGTTTGGGCCTGCCCGTCGGGTGCTGGTCCAAGATCAGACCTTTAGGGCCTGTAATACCCCAAGGTCGGGCCTTTAGGCCCGGATGTGTCTTTCCGGCCCTAAGTCGGGTCCGGTAGGACCCGTGTGCGTCGAAGATGTAACACACTCCCCCTCTTAAAAGACCGAGCTACCTGCGAGGGCGAAGTTSTCTGTCCGATACCGGGGTGGGTCGGGCGGGACGAGCTGCGTCCTTAGCAATGCGTCGCTTCTCATAGTCGGCGAAGATGAGGGGTGCAGAAGTCTGCAAATCTGTACTGGAGATCCATCGAGTGTCATCAGGCGCACATTGCTTGAATGTGACTTTGTACTGCCTTGGCTTGTTTTCATACTTACGTTGCGTGATGACTCGGTCAACTTGCTGATGTCCGTACATAGAAGGCGGATCATGTGATCGACGTCCGGGGAACTCGTCAGCTGAAGGTGGCGTGTAGATGGCTAGCTTCGATGCGTGGAAGACCCGATGCACTGTTAGGTGCAGTGGAATGTTGATCACGAAGGAAGGACCTGCGGGGTCGTCTCCAACGGCAGAAGTGACTTCCCATGGTCCGAACCATTTCGGAAGGAGTTTGCGCGAAATATCCTGCTCGAGCACAAATTCCTCGAAGAAGACCCAAACACGGTCTCCCTCGCGGAAAGGACATGGAAGTCGACCTCGGTTAGCTTGCTGCTGCATGCGGATCTGAGCCTTTTGCATATTTGCGCGGGCTTTGATCAGCAAGTCCCGGTACTTCCGGATGGAAGCGGGAGAGCAAGGGACGTCTATGTCGGCAGCCTGTGGCAAAAGGAGATCAGCGAAAATCCGTGCTTTCTCTCCACCATGATGTAGCTCGAATAGTGTGACGCAGATCGCCGGGTGCACCGAAGTGTTGTAGGCGAACTCGATGTCGGGAAGTCGGTCAACCCAATCTTTCAGGTCGGGACGGATGAGCGTACGCAACATCATCTTAGCGGTCTGGTGCGCTCGCTCCGTCTGACCATCCGTCTGCGGGTGCCGAGCCGAGCTCGGCTTCATTGTCGTGCCGGACTGAGTCATGAGAGAAGTCCAAAAGGTCGACATGAAGCGAGTATCTCGGACGCTCACTATATCTTCTGGAACACCCTGGTTGGTAATCCAAGCGGTGTGCAAGAGTCGTGCGAGCTCAGGTGCTGCAACATGATACTTGCAAGGAAGGAAGCGAGCATACTTGCTCAAACGGTCAACGACCGTGAGAATACCGTCATGGCCGTGGCGATCGCGGGGAAACGGGTCTGTCACGTCCATAGCAATGGAGAGGCGTGGTGCCCGAGGGATCGGCAACGGTTTCAGTTCGCCGAAGGGGACTCGAGATCGACCCTTGTTACGGTGGCAGACTGCACATGACTCAATGTACCTCGTGACGTTGTGAAGGACGTCGGGCCAGTGAAAACGCTGGCGGAGGCGTGCTAGTGTGCGGTTCACGCCAAGGTGTGTCGAAAGTCGTACGTCGTGGAATTCGCCGAGAAGATGAGTCCGTAAGATGCGATCTTGGGGCACAACTAACAAGTCATTTCCTCTCGTGTGAAGGAGAAGGAACCCGTTGGAAATCCGATAGTGGCTAGCTGGCGGGTGATCCGATGAAAGCTCCGCGCAAAGCTTAGAGTAAGTCGGATCGGACTTGTAGCCTTTGACGAAATGCGGCTGTAGATCGTCATCGAGGTCGAATGCCGTGGTCACAATGGCACAAAAGTCGGGCCGTCGTGAGAGGGCGTGCGCAGCTCGATTGGCGGGACCGGGAATGTCACACGGGTCAAAATCGAACTGGTCGATGTAATACATCCATCGACCGATCGTGCTAGTGACCGTGTCTTGCGTTTTATAAAAGGTGAACGGATTGTTGTCCGTATTCCATTTGAAACGCCGACGGCCGAGAAGAAAGTGGCGCCACCGTTTGAGAGCGGTGACGAACGCGAGTAGCTCTTTTTTCCTCGTGTCGTCGAGAGTGTTGACGAGAGGCACCTTTTGGGAGAAATACTCAACCGGATGCCAACCGTCCTCGTGACACTGTTCCAACACCGCACCAATACCGTATCCCGAAGCATCCGTAGTCACTTGGGTGGGGAGGGTGGGGTCGTATATACGGAGGGCAGGTGCGGCTTGCATCGCTGCCTTCAACGTAGT